TGTAGCAATTGTATATATAAATGTACGTTGGGTAACTTACATGATAGAGAGTAATTTATTCAGCTTTCTGATATAATTATGGATATTCTACCAAAGTTGTAAATCACTTTGTCAATTATGTTACTAATCAACGATTTAAGGATAAACCTCTTGTATTGCAAAATATTAGGATTCTTTTGAAATTTACAAAAAGATTGCCCCTACCTGCAGATTTGCATATGTCAGTTGTGGTATAAACAAAGCAATTAATGCATTTTGATATTTGGTCAGTGAAAAAGTTATAACAGAAAGAGAAGCAAAAGGTCTCCACAGAAGACACAAACTTCTCAAAGCCAGGCGGTGCAGTTTAAACTGTTACACAATTGGCAATTTGGTTAGGAATACACATTTATACTCAATTGCTGCGTGTTCTGTTAGGCCAACATTTTTCTCTGTATATTATTTCCTCTTTCTGGGATGACAAACCATTCCATCGTAATAGTATTAAAATATATTTCATCCCTATTAAACATGCTATAAATTTGATTGGTCTTTTAATGGCGTGTTTGATTGCATTAGCAGATTTCCTCCTGCTCAACTCTTGTCTGAGGTATGAATACTTAAAATTGTTGCTTTCTGTCAATACAATGAACAGAATTTTAGCTGAAGAAAATTATTAAGCTGCCAAGAGGGCATGTTACTGCTTTCCCAGGCTATTAACAGCTCTTCTCTTCCTTTCATTTCCTTATACTTTTCCATGGACAGTGGCTACTGAGCCAGCATGTTGTTCCATTCCAAGTCTTACTTTGCTCTGTCTGTTATGTCCTATTATTGAAACATATTATCCCTTTGTAGGCATTGGTTGAGTAAAGTAGACATCTGAGGAGGAGTACACTAGCTTTTTCTTCCTCATGCTTTTCCATTGTCCTCCCTCAGTGGTAGGTGAGTTTCTGAGGTGGAGAGGCTTGTATTCCTGGATTATGAATGCTGATTTTTCAGTGTCCTAAATCACAGAGCTTTCATGGACACAGAATGTTCTCCTCTTTAGAAACTGACATGGGCAAGGAGGAGCAGAGCAAGCAGAAATCTCTCTTATTTACTGAAATGCAGATTGCGCAAGTAGGACTTTGTATCCTCATTGACGTAGAGACTGTAGTAGAGTTTGTTATATCACCACAGAAGAAATAAGCAACAATCCCAATATATAACAAGGTCTAGGCACAGTGACATGGTCAGTTTTGGTTATCGTTTCGCAGACCCACCTGCTAGTTGTTTAGTGCCAGCGGTGGTCTAGATGTTGCAGCCAGTCTGGCCTAGCATCCATCTGGCACAGCCTAACCAAATTCATTTACTGATTTCAGTGGGAGGGTTATCTATATGCTCTGTGCTAGACTATGCCCTGATCATTCATGCTTGCTTGATGGGAGCAAATTAAACTTAGAACTTGGGAGCAAAATTGCAACAGTGAAGCAGCAGAATCTAGCAAGAGCCAGCACACTTAATTGGATTACCACTTATGAAACACTTTAAAAAAATGCATCATCCCTGCCCTCCGCAAAAAAAGATAGAATTATATAAAATAAGCACACGCTAACTTATATGTATAGATAGAAATTTAGAGTTTATTTCAACAATTTAAATAGAAATGCAGAACACCTTGCTATAGTGAGGAAGACTGTGACGAGGTAACCTTTGTGCTTGCTCTGTCTGCTGTTCAGTGTTTCACCCTTGATGGTTGAAATTAAGGCTCCCTCTGCTCTCCCTTGGTTCATTATTTTTGAATCAGACCTGGAGCAAGCAGTTCTTCAAATAGAGAATGCCTTCAAATAGAGGATTTTCCTTTCTAAAGTAGGTGAGACTGTGCTATTTCCCTGCAAATGCCTAAATTTGGAACCTTCAGATAGACTATGAAACAGGTACGTCAGAATAAACTTAAGTGACTCAAAAAGAAGTCCATTCTTTACATATGGTAGCATATATTTCATTTTCAGGATTCTGTTCATGATTGCAATATGGGATATTTGTTACTTTATATTTTATCGTATCTAGTTTAAATGCTGTTGGAACTTTGTCACTAAGATCTTTTTTCAAAAGAGGCAAAATTTTCCCTTCAACTTCATCATATGACTGAATTCACTGGAAGTCAATCTTACCTGTGACAATGCAAGTTGTTAATGAAGGATAATACTTTTCATATAAATAGAGCAATTTCTTTAATTCAGAATGGTCAGTTACATTTTACAGCACTTAATATTAATGTGAAAAAATTGTTCCACCCATTTCTGAAACTGACAGTAAAGTTCATCTTTGAGGCACAAGGGGAAAGGCAAGAAGAGGTTACATCTTTGTTTTATGTGGCTATAAAATTGGGAGTAGAAATAGTTCTTGGGATATGTCCCTATACCCTGTAGTGATAAAGGCACAATTACCTGGAATATATTATTCTTTGTGGATTGGATCACTGTCGAATGAATTTGCAATCCCTGTTTTACCCTCCCTTCATTAAAAGTCTATATACAGATAGTAATAGATTAAGATCCAATTTAAGAGAAAAAGCCTTCTGAATTTCTTAAACATAAACAGGGGCAGAATAAAAACCTAAGTTCAGCACTCATATGTCTGATTCCCTCACTAATTGGGCATTTAACACATATTTGGTTTGGAGCTTTTATTGGTATTCATAAAATAAAATAACCTATAGTCAAGATCTCATTAGGGACATTGAAATAAGCTGCATCATTAGTTCCTGTAAGAATTGCAAAGTATGCACCATAGAATGATAGCATTTTAATAATGGCATTGCAATTGATTACTGTATTCAGATTCTCCAGGCGAATTGCTGGCTTAAATGGATTCTTAACTTCCCTTAGAGAGCTACAATAAGTTCTTGGACCTATTAACTTTTGTGGATTCCCAAAAGTGTTTTGAAATAGGAGGACATAAAACAGGGAAACATAACAGCAGGTGACTATATAGAGGTGTTCTTTATTCAGAGCAAAACTCCATTTTTTACTTATTTTTTTTCCTTTTCTGGAAATCACAGTAATAAAAAACATAAACATAGTCATATGAAGATGTTCTCATTCTCTTCCCTCATAGCAACCAGCCCAGTATGTTAGGTGAGTTTGCAATCAGGACATGCTATGCTGGTTGTCTGTGTTTCAGGATTCTTGAAATAGGTGGAAGTGTGGTTGGATTACTGCATATTTCGGTGTATGACTTGCTGGTGACTTCTCAGGACTGGACTACTGGATATAGTAAAACCCCTGGATTTTAGCCAGGCACGACAGAAGAGCACCCACCAGGCTCACCAGGAGTTTTAATCATATTTAAGGTGCGTTTTTAAGGACATCATCCTATGTATGTTTAGCTAGAAACAAGTCCAACAACCCTCAGTACTCCTCTAACTAGCTAACCATGGTGCTTGAGGAACACTGGCAGTTGTGTGACTTTTTCCTGTCTCGATTTGCAAAGGATTGCCCCTTCGTCTTGTATGCATTCATTTCAGGACAAGCACTATTCTACCAATCAATGCCACAGCTCAGTTTCCTATTTCCTTAACTGAACTGTAATCCAGGTTAACAGCGATAGCGACTGCCCATGGACTCTCATGTAGTCCTGCACCCCTGGAGATGCAGTGATTTCATTTCACAATTCTACTTAGTGACAGGATTGCTGTCTTTTCAGGAAAGTATTTGGTTCTGGGGGCTACAATTTCAGTTCCATACTGTTGTAATGAACTATAGGGCAGGCTGCACTTAATACTGATTCCAGCTGGATATCATGGGTCACCCAGTACACTGGTTCCTCAGCATCTCCCCTGATTTTCTGCAGACTTCTGAACACAATGTAACAGGATGTTTTTAATCGAGGAAGTATTAACAGTCAGGAGCCAACAGACCTTTCATATCTCCTCTTTTTTCACTGCATCCATAAGTGCTTTCTTGTTTATGTTATTCACAAGCAAAACTTTTCTTGTATTACCACTGTGAAGAGTGGGATAGTAAAGATTTAAATAAATACATAAAACTCAAGTCAAAACTGAACAGCAGCTGACCCACAAAAATGCAGCACTTTCTTAAGAACTTTTATTTTGACTGATTCTGAATGGCTGAGACCAATGGTGCTTCCAGATTTGGCTTGAGTTATATTCACAGAATTTTCACAAGTTGCTGTGTTCAGTTTGTACCCTTCATGTTTCCCACCCTTTCATCTCCTTTTGTAACTAGAAAAATCCCACTAAGGAGGAAAGGGCAGAATAGTTACACAATGCCTTTGACTGGTAATCCTAGAAGGGCATCTTTCTGAAACCACCCTAGGTACCAGAGCACATGGTATGTGCTAGCAGTTCCCATTAGAAATGTTCATATTTTAATGTCCACCAACCCAGTACTCTCCAGATTTTGGAATTTCAGCTCCCATTAGTCCGAGCCAGCATGGCCAATGATCTGGAATGCTGGCAGTAGTAATCCAAAACATCTAGAGAAGACTGTTTTGGGGAAGGCTTCTGTAAACACATCTGCAATCAGGAGAAGTGCTCCCCACATGGACCGCAGCTGTTGCAATGTCAGTCCCATTGCTGAAAACAAGGGACAGAGACACAAAGACTCATGGATGGGTTTTTGCTGTGCAGCAGATTATGGCTGGAAAAGGGGATCAGTGACCAGAGGAAACTATTCTGTTCCCACAGTAAGGCTGTGATGATGTATCATCCAGTTCTGATCTTGAGCAGGAACTGGAATTTCAGAATGTTCTTAATTTTCTGAGTGTAATTATGATGAATTTGAAACCATACTATGGATGACTACAATTTTGCTTTCATGTTTTCAGCTGCTTAGGAGGGAGGACTCCTTCAAGTCTCTCTTTCAAAGATGCTGTAGTTTCTTTCTTTTTAAAGCAATTCTACCCCATCCTGTCAGTCATTTGGGGAAAAAGCTGGAGCAATTAGGCCTAAAAAAACCCCAGCAGAAATACTACCTTTTATAAAGCGGAGAAGTAAAAAAGAAGAATCTTATACTTACAGATATATCATCACTAAAGTCTATTTCATCCAAATCTAGATATTCAGGGGCTTCCATTATTCTGCTATGCACATCTTCATTGGCTTAGTTGGATAATAAATGTTCTATTTAAAGAAGAAAAATGAAGGACAAGAATTAACACAGCGTACTTAAAAGCATTCCTCAATTTGATTCAAAATGAGCTAGCTATTTACTAGGATTCCTGGTGAGCATTCTCACTAGGCATCCAGAAAAGGTTAATCTGCTTTCTAAAAATTCTGTCCTGCTCACTAGAGTGGCACATTTTACACTGTTATCTTCTGTAATTTGTTCCCAGTACTAACTGTGGGGAGTCTTATTTGGAATTCATCCATTCCTCTTTCCCAAAGCAATCATAACAGAGAATAAGAAAAGTATGGGGGACAGGAACTACACATGTGCAACAAACCATCAAGAGAATGGATCCTAACATGGTATCTAAGCTGTAACAGTCTTTTTAGTTTTGATTCCATGTTTTATCAAAGAGAATCTCTGGTTCCCAGTGATTTTTCCCCAGGTTTCATTCATTTCTTATCCTTCTGGACGCTAATCACAACTCCACTGTGCAACTGCACAGGACAGTGGGAAGTTCCCAAACCCTGGGAGCAGGAGAGCTGTGTAATCCCTGAGTGAATGTGCCAAAGCTCAGATGGAGTATTGTTATATATTCTGTGCAAGCCAGTTTTCCAGCCCTGAGGGTTGGGAAGGGGAAGGAAGGGGGCAGGGCTCTTACTAGCCACATGCTGGGGGGAAAGCAGCTTGCAGAGAATACATATTAAGGAACTGTCTAAGCTTTCGCTCATTCCATTCAGGGAACTTTCTGAAGCTTGGTCAAATGCCCAGGGAATGCCCAGAGATTTTCTTCTCAAGGCCCAGTGTTGCCTGAGCTATTCTTGGTGCACTAGCTTGGGAACCACATGGTTATCTGGAATGTGAGCATTTAGGGGCTTTTGCCCAGCTCCGCTCAAACTGTGATTAGCATCAAGTATTTGGATAATAGACTAAACGGGCTGCTTGGCTGGGCGTTCTGTACACAACATCTCATTTACAACAATCAATGAGACTTTATTCACAGCTGGGGACTCATAAAAGACTATCTATGCATTAAACAAGTTCTGCAAGCGTTTCCATGCATGTGCCTCTAAAGTAGCATGGCCAGCCAGAATACTGAGCATGCATGTACTAAACCAGAGGGAAACATCTGGGGGAAATGGCACCTGATTTGTAATACACAAGAGCATGACCAATTGGGAAAATTCATACTTCTCAACAGGCAATTATGAACTTTGGATACATCATGACTCAAAGGATCTAAACACAAAAATGTGAACAAGTCCCAAAGAACAAATGCAATATTCATCTCAAAAAAGAACTGTCAGTCCTACTTAAATTTAATTCTTCTGTATTCACTATACATTGAAGGATGAGCATTTCCATATCTAAAGAGGAAGCTTAGATTCTTGTATTAAAATTGTTCTACTTTTATAGAACAGTTCAAAGGCTACCCATGACAAGCTAACCACTTAATAATAACTGCCTGTTATTAGTCATAATATGCTGCTGTGCTTGCTTACTATCAGTATAATTCAGCCAGTTATGTATTTTTAATTCTCACTGATTTCAGTGAAACAGTTACAGACATGTCAAATTTCTTCCAGTTGGATTTAAAATTGCCTCATTTTGGCTGGACCATGGCCTGTGTGTTTTATTCCCATCTATCCCTATGGCCCTGTATATTATCCAAAACAGCCTCATTAAAAATGCAGAATGCCAAGGTTCTCATGACATCTTTGGTGCATTTAACTGTTGCTTAGTAGTGGAGATTTTGTAGACAAGACTGTAGAATCACTACCAGGTGGATAATAAGGGCATAAGAGCCAGGAGATAGCAATCCTTATTGTCTGTAGGAAGAGAATCCTTCTTATATTCTCAGGGCTTTTACTTAGCAGTTGTGTACAAAATGGGTATCTGAGAGAGGATATCTGAGAGGGCCTTCTTTACCAATCTGCAGGTTGCTGAGGCCATCGGAGGATATCCTCCTGGTGGTACCACACAGACTCATGACCTGATTGAAGTTTCTGAAGTTCCATTTCTGTGAAACTGCCTTTCTGTGGAGATCAAGCAGGTACCACTGCTGTGGTGTTTTCAGTGCCTGCCAAAGACATCTTCGTTCTGAGAAGCCTTTCTTGCTGACCAGCCACAATTTTAATGGCATCCTATTTTTAATACAGTGTTTTTACTCCTTTATCTGCTTAACATTCTTACTGTTTACTGCTCTAGAATCTGCCTTGATATGCAGTGGCATGCAAATACTTTAAGTAAATTAAGAGGGGTTTCTCCCTCCCAGTTGAAGAATTATTACATCTTTTCTGCATTTGATAACATCAGAGGGGGGAATGAATAATGCATAGCCGTAGTGCTAAAGAGAGCCAAGGCAGGCACCCTGACTCCAGCGAGCATGCTGAATGGTGCGCTCCCACTCAGATGCATATGCGGCACAAACATGAAAAGCCAGTCAGATCTAATCACAGTGTGAGACTTAAAGGGCGGGTGGAGAAATAACAAAAGCATGCAGTGCACAAGACTTTTATTAAGAACACGACTGGAGCCTCATGGTTCATACTTGCAAGAGCCACACATATGGCTTGGTGAGTTACTTGTTTTTAACGGGTTTTCCATGCATCATTAAGAGAGGCAGGAAGCAGACACCAATTCTTTGGAAGGCTTCATCTGATGGCTTCTTGTGCCTCTTTGCTATTTTGAAGGCTGTAATAGTGGCAGCATGGTTGCCACTATAAAGGCTTTTGTTTTGCCTTACTTGTTGTAGAAAGAAGTCTATCGCTCCAAACATACATTGTTTGCATTGCTTTCTCAGTACTTAATAGCTATTCCTACACCTTTTTTTCAGCATGGGAAAGAAATGGTTTAGAACCACAAGTATTGTACATGCTTTGCTCCTGCCATCTGCCATTCTCTATTTGTATGAATTTGAGGCAAGTGAATGAAAATTTAGTTTCAGGACTGCATGCCAATTCTATTTCTTCCTTTTCCAATTTCCTTCATTTTTCAACATTGACAACTCTGCTTGAACTTAGTAAATCACAATCTGAAAGATTTCCTAGTAAGTTCTGTATCTCAAGTTGTACCAGTTAAGATTTAACTGGGCTTTTCTGAGCCTGCTAGTACAGAAATTGCCTCCCACCCCACAAAAAAAATCTAATGAAGGCATATAAAGAGTAACGGAATGAAATGCATGGCAGCATACAGCAAGTGTGTCGAGATGTAACCCTAAAACATGGTTTAGTGTTGTGTGCAGGATCTCTGGGCTGATGAGCGACCTACTTCCCTTTTCTGATGTGGCCATGAGAAGATATGAATTTGTTGTTTCTGTTTTTAACTAGCTGCAACTAATCATTATGACCAAACTGGACAAACTGCGTAGTCTTAACTGTAATTTGGACCATGGGTGCAGAACCAAATCTAGCTGGCTCCCAGATGGCCACAGATCCGTTCCCTGGCCATACCCGCTTCTCCCAAATGTTGGTCTTTTTAGTATTTTGGCATCCCACCTTTTGCCTTCTGCACCAGTCAGCTCTAGACTGCAATCCTTGAAAGCTTCTCCAACATGGAATTTGGTCCTTGGAGTGAAAGATGTTCTTTCTACATACCTGGATTAGGGGAAACAGGACAACTTCAGGACAGGCTTTATGCCTCTTGCTTGTTTCTCTAAGTCAAGGGTGGGAAAACTTCAGCTTTGAGGCTGAAAGCTAAATTCAGTTTCAGAGAAAATCTCAGGGATTACTTTCCACTGGTGGGTGGAACCAAATGGAAAGGGATGGGACTGAAAGGCAAAAGAGAGGGGGCAAAAATACGAAACACTGCTCCCTCCAGCAGCATATTAGAACTTACAGCTCTTACTTCCAGGAACTAGCCTTAGGGGAGGCATTTCAATCTTTTAGTGGGAAAAACACTACACAGAATTTGGGAAGAAAATGAGAGTTGTGCGACAGGAGTAGGGCTGTGTGACAATATCAGATGGCCAGTTTGAAACCCCAGCAGCCTAGATTTGGCCTCAGGAGTGAGAATCCCCATCCCTGCCCTAAACCATAGTTCAGACTTGACGAATAACCATGGTTATTTGGAAGAAAAACAATATAAAATGGAAAATGGAAGCAAATGCTTCTGAACTCCTCTCTGGGATTGTGCCAGAGAGAAATACACATGCTCAAGGCTTGGGTGCATAATATTAAACCACAGTTAACCATTGTGCCTGAACCTTATCTATATTCAATGTATTTATGCGTATGATCACTACCATTTCCACTCCTTTTTTGAGAATCAAAAAGATTGAGCCAGTGGAAAAAAATCTTTCATTACACGCTATGGCTTTGCTGCTCCACCATTTTTACAAGATTTCTATTCAATGACTGTGTGAACTAGCTGCAAAAATGATTTTCAGAAAGCTTAAATTTCCACAAACAATGTTCAGGAAGTTTATTATTAATTTAAAAGCTCTTGTAACAAAGGAAGTTTATTAGAACAAACATAAATCACTCTTAAGGCTGTTTTCGTCCTGTAATTGTGTATGATTTATGCTGCAAATGTTACAAAAGGCAATAGGAAATATGTTCAAGGAGCTAAACAAACACATGCAACAATGGAAAAGCAACATCTATGACTTTCTATAACTTGTTTTAAATCCCAGTTATTTGTTGAAATCACAATTCAAGGAAAACTTGAAAGGAAATGCAAGGTTTAGCCAACTTACTTGTTGGGAACTTCAAGAGCATAACCCACATTGGATGAACAGAAGTATAACTACACTGAACTCACCAGGAACATTGCTTCTGCTAAAATAATCAGATTTTCACTTAGTTTCAAATGGAGGCATTTTAGGTTTTCCTTGGAAGGCAAATATATTTGGGTAGTGGAGGTGGGGGCAAGATTTAAATCAAGGCTCAAAAGGATGCTTTCTTATACATTCCTGTTAAATGATTAAATGACATGTATTTTAAGAGCGTATATACTATGAGTACCTTTTCATAGTGTTACTAGAGATACAGGTGCTCTGGGTGTATCTTACACCATTTGAAAATGTAGCACTCCCACTTTTGAAAATGGTGCCCTGTCTTCACCCAAAGCCAGAAGAGTTCATTTTTTTTGCAGAAATTCTGGCTTCATTCTGACCAACACCACAATTGTTAGAAATTAATCCAAACAGCATAATTCTACTGGAGGGGAAGAATAGGTTGACAATCATAAGTTCATCAGAAATATTTGTGATAAGATACCAGTGGAGCTTTGAGTGTATCACTCTAACTCAGTGGTGATGGACCTATGGCACGTGTGCCACAGTGGGCATGCAGGGCCCTCTCTGTCAGCATGTGAGCCAAGTCACCCCAGCATCGCCCCAGCAGCCAAGCATTAGATAACAGCACACATAGGGGCCATGTGCATGCTCAGAAAGGAGGCGTGGCGCCAGGCAATGATGTCATGAGCTGCAACTCATTAGCTGCGACTCACACGAGCTTTCGCAGCTGGTCAGTGCGCTGCCAAGAATATATATATTCTTGGACTGGCTGTGAGTTGTTTTTTCTAAACTAAAACCTCAGTATTAAGGTTTCATTGAAGTGTTGGCACTTTGCAATAAATAAGTGGGTTTTGGGTTGCAGTTTTGGCATCTGGTCTCTGAAAGGTTCACCATCACTGCTCTGATAGTTCACAGGATGCAGAACTCATCTGAAAAGCACATGGCAACTCTTTATTGCTTTATTAGTTAGTTATGCACTCAGTTTATTTTATTGATATTTGCAAGGAAATGTATTTCCATTTTTTTAAAAACAAACAAGCAAACAAAATCAATGCAATATGGAATATTTTATTATTTTCCTAGCATAGCAAATTACAGCATAAAGTATATGGGTATTTATTTAAGACTTTGGAAAAAGTCACATTAATTACATTCTAAAGTAGAATGGAACAGATATCAAGTGTCCTTACATAGAAGTCATGATTTGGTTTGAAATCTGGGTCTTGGATGTTTCAGCACATATTGTAATATTTTGCTCTGCTTTGAATCATGAACATGGTCCTGCTCACTTTTGAAGAGACCAGATAGTGCAGATTCTCAATGGCACCAGACTCCATGCCAGTTGGAAGAGTCTGCTTCTAGGTTTCTGTCACCAAACAGATAGGAATATTTCCAAGGAAGAAGGAATCTAATTTACATAGGTGTCTTGTTTTTGCACTCTGCAGTGGAATTTCACACCTTGCAAATTATACATTCAATCCATTTTGGAGTTTCCTGACACTTTGTGTCAATGGATGAGGGAGCTGGAGGACTGAAAATGGTGCCTGGATCTCCTGCCCATAAATCAATACCCTTTACCATTTCAGGCTGTATGTGGAGGACATCTACACTTTCCCTGCTTCCTGCTTATGTGACCAAGGCAGGCAGTACAACCATGAGGCTTGCTGTACTTTGGTCACTAAAGTAAATGAGAACAGGGCTACTGTCAGAGGTAGGCATGGCTGGGGCACCAGCCAAGGGCTCCCCTTCCCATGGTAGATCACTGACATGATCTCCCTGGACTTGTTCCACCCATTCACAACCACAAGCCATTTGTTCACCTGTCTCCTGCTCTGATCCAGACAGTGCTGTTGGTAAGGAGGAGGAACAGTAGCTGCTGCTGCCAACTGACTTTCTGCATGTCAAGCAAGCAAGAGTTCCAGTTGTGAGCAAGAGGAAGAGGAACAGCAGCATCTGCTGACTATGGGAGAGAAGGGACAGATTCACAGAGGGGTAGGGCACTGCAGGTGTCCTTTCTAAGAGACCCCCAAGAGAATAATGGCTCTGAATGAGAATAATGATAGCTGCTGTAAGGAACACCAGGTTCAGTCCCTGGTTTGCACAGGCAGAATCTATACACCTTGCTCTTGACAAATGATGGAGTGGTGTGGGGAAGAGCTTTCAGTGTAGATGTAGAAACACACATAGCTCCAGTGCCAACACTGTCTTTTCGGTGCACCCAACAGATAATGTTTCAGAGAAGAATTCTGCTGGCTAAGCATATGGAGAAACAAAAGGCGAACTAGCTGATAAGGAAACTGGTATCTTCTCATCCTTACAACAGAAACACCTCATTTGTACTTTGTAGTTAATCAACATAAGAAGATAAGGGCTCACAGCTGAGTATCCTGAAGACAGAACTGTCAGGACTGATGGTGCAAAGTAGTAATATTTGAAATTCTTCAGGCAGTACATTAGAGTAAAGTAAGAAATCCAGAGAGAAGTAATAAGCAGTATTAACAACAGAATATATTTACATGCTCTGAGGACTTCAGTTTCAGTAGCATCATTCCCAATCCATATGCCACCATATGTTGTCTTCTTATGTTGCCAGACAAGGTGTGCTATTCGGAAACCAACTAGGAGCATAATTAGCAGTGGGAGAACATCGACAGCTACTAGAAATATTTTTCCATAAAAAATCTCTATCTTGTCATTTTTGTATTCAGTCTTGCATTCAGCATAAATTAAACTGCTAAATTCCTGGTAGGTTTCATTTTTCAAATTCAGCTGTCCAGTCTTTTGTACATATAGTAGAAGTGGGGAGCAAATTGCAATACCAGCAAACCAGAGAGCAAAAAGTAGTGACAAGTGATATTTCCGAAGGTTTCTGCTTGCCGCTTCAGCTGGAGGGTGTACCACTCGACACAATTTCAAACAGTAGAGTAACGCAAGATATAATGTGAACCATATGGCAAGAGTAGTAGTACAAGTTGTTGTGAACACGATAACTTTGCAGCCCACTGGCTCCAACCAAACACCAAACGCATAAACAGTCTTCAAGATGTTCACCACCAAGTTGTTTACAAGATGGACAAATGCAAGACTGAAAATAAGTGTGAATGAGGTTCTCAAATGTTCATTGATGCATCTCCACGTGCAGAAAATCAATAAGGTATTTCCAACGACACTACTGGAGATCATTACGACACAGGCAAATATTTCCAGTGCCCCATGATTGAGGTCCATGTTCTTCAGCGAATGTTCTTTAGCTGTTTTCCTTCTCCAGATCTATTCAATTCTTTAGAATCCTTGCACTTTAAAAGGCCTAGTAAAAATTCTTGCCAAATTCATAGGCATTTCATTCTCATAAAATGAATTTTCATATTATGTGTCATGTTGAAGAAAGATACAAACAATAATCGGTCTCTTCACAGAATGCAAAACTGAAAAACAAAACCAAGCTAATGTTGTTTAAGCCAATGATTTTTCATCATCTCTTGAGAAGCTGTCATTATGAACAATCACAAGGGAATTCTGTAATGAAAGGGTACCAACTTGTAGCAACAACCTGGAAACCTGTTGGCCTAAAAGCATCTCAGATGCAGAGCTCTTCACTGAACAACAGAGTTTTGATGTCTGTATCTCAACAGTAATATTTATAGAGATTTAATTTAAAAATAGCATTTTCATTGGCTATTCTGAAATGTAGCTCACATTAGATGAGTTAAAAAAAATAAAGATTAGACAAGCAATTACAGAAATTATATTTTCACTCTATGCTGACTAAAAATCCTATCTAAATAACATTTAATTACTAAAAATAAATTATATATATAAATTCTTTAAAATGGAACCAACTTACAAAATCATAGTCTACCTATTACAGATATTAAAAATTCACTATTTTATCTGCCTCTTTTGAAACACAACTGCACCACAGTCAAAACTGAGTATGGGTTTAGGCCAGTAGTGATGGACAATGTCAATGTGGTATGGGCTTTGTCTTCTTCCTCTTCATTTTCCTTTTTAAACAAATTATCAAAAAGATATGAGATAACTGTATTGTCTGGATAAGCAACCAAATTTGCACTCCATGAACACTGTTCAACTTCATTGATAATCTGAATGCTAATTCTTATACGGAATCAGAAAACAGATAAAGTGAACATGAATGGAATGCGCTCCCCAGAGAGGTCCGCCTGGCGCCGTCGTTATTTGTTTTTCGGCGCCAGGCTAAGACCTTTTTATTTAAGCAACATTTTAAATGCTAAATACAATTGAATTTTATCTGGCCAGGGCGGCTTATTTTATAATGCGTGTTTTAATTAAATTATTTTATATGGATTTTAACTTATTGTTTTATCGATGTTGTAAGCCGCCCCGAGGCTTCGGCGAATGGGGCGGCATAAAAACGTTTTAATAAATAAATAAATAAATAAAATTATATGTGGTAAAGCAAAAAGAGGCATCATTTGAATAACTTGTACAATCATGCATCACACATCTGATCAGTCTTTCACTATCACTGATATGTGTTGTGAATGGAACTAAAACTTGGCTTTGCATTATTTGTGAATGGTTACTATAGGCTGAACTATGGAATAATCAAGATCCTGGCTTCATATTCTCATTGGTAAGCAGAGTATAAACCACGGTGTTCTGTTTGGGTTGTCATAGGACATTGTATTTTAAGTAAACTACAATCAAAATGCCAAAGCCAACGTACAACAGAAGAGGCAAGTCTAAGGATGCAGTAAGTGTTTGTGGCTTATTCCACAACCTTTGTTATTCCGAGATCATAACATTTGCAGAAAGTCCTGGCACTCTGGTGCCATATATTTCCATTTCTACACTGGATGCTTTGCATGAAACCTCTGCCAATATCAGCAGTGGTGCTTGGCAGAATTGTGGCATCTTTTTGTTTTTTACTGCTTGTACAATACTCTGAAGGCATCAGTATGCTCTTTGAGTGAGGCATTTACTGTACACTCACGGTACTTTGCAGGTGCTTCGTGCAACACTGTCATCCTCCTGGGCTTCACCTGTGCTTTCCAAGCATTTCTGCACTTATTTTTAGAGTTAGGAAAGTGCCTGTCACACTAAATTGCACTAAAACAAACATGTATTTCTACAACTGCGCTATACCAGAGCACCAACTTGTGGTTGTTATGGAGTATATAGGAAAGCAGAGAGAGAAAAACCCTGGGGGGAAGCACATATAAAGAAGAGAATTTTAATCCTGCAAAGAACAGGGAAGCAGAAACTTCACTAAAATGACAAGAGCATGAGTGAATATACACAGTTTTACTCTCTATCATCTTGCATGATGTGGTTCAATGGGGATACTGAGTTTTGCTTGTTTTTTGCCCAATTGCACTGAGCCTTGCTTCTCTCTTCAAGCAATATCAGTCTCACCAGCATTTTTTTTGTCAATAATCTTTTATTGTTACATTCAAGTGTCTGAGCACACACAGAGTGAAATATTGAACCCTTTCTGGTATTCATTACCCCAAACCCTCCTTATGAACCTTCTGTGTCTTGTCCCTGGGGGAGGGGCACTGTGAAAGCAGGCACCCCTTTGCTCTTTTTGTTGTGCCCCTACCTGTTACCTCTCTCTGATTAAGCAATCTAGTGACTGGCTCTATCTCTTCAGGAGGCAGGAGTTCCCCATTGAAAAAATTACCCATTTCAAAGTCTCCTTCCTTGACCTTCAGCTCCCCCTTGTTCCCACATCTGACTAGACTGGTCCCTTTGCCCTTGGGCTAATCTCCCCCACAGCTAACTCCTCTGGGGTCTCAGGACCTTGAGAGGAGCTGGGGTTTGAAATGTCGAATCACAACTGGGGTTTAAACTGTTCCAAAAACAATCACATCTTCAGAATCTGAACTATCAGACCTGCCTGAATGCATAGCCTCCCATGTGCACACCTGAAATCTGACAGGATGAACACTAACAACACAAATGCTAAAACTCACATAAAACTCATCTTTTTTTGGGGGGATTAAGTTGCATTTTTGAGGCGCATAAATAATAAAAATGTGTGATCCCTAATGGCTATATTTCAGTCTAGGAAATACTGACAATCTTTTGACAGTGGTAGTTGTGTGACATTTCTGTAGCTTCTCACTACAGTTCCCTACTGCAATGAATGGAAATTTCACAGCAGTGGTGCTTAGAACACTGTATACATTAAAGTCCATGGGAAGTACTCATAAATAAGTTTGGTACTGGAGACTTACTACATCCAAGAAGCCACATGAAAGCTGCTTTTTAATGAGGTTTTTTTCCTTCACACAGTTATACTCAGAGGCAAGAGATTTCCTCTCCTGAGCATATGAAAAGGACAATAGCTGTGAGATAAACAAGGTTCAAAGACACGAGAAAGTTCTTCTGTGTGGCAAAATACACAATACATCTAAGTTGCTTTTTGAGAACTGGAGGCCCTTTGTTATCCTATCATCACTGATATGAAAAGTGAGAGATCACAACAGGGTCTCCTGACAGGCCAGCCAACACAATAGTAAACTGGTATTGTTCAGGTTAGCTGTTCAATAAAAATGCTACCTCACAGCACCCCAGGAAAGATTTCCAGTACACTTTCAGAAGGCACACATCCTACTTTATTGCTCTGGATTTAGTGAATGCCTGGGAGAGAAACCTTCAAGTATTTATCAGCATCAACCGGCTTTTTGATAAGGTTTTGCACTGAATTATTTTTCCTTGGTAAGCGTCAGTCTTATCCAAATCATGCCATATTGAAAGCTTCTCTTGAAGGTCTGCATAAAGGTTAAAGATAAAATATGTATCCTCACAAGGAGGTTGTTTATTCAGCATACAGCACAACAATATAGTATATCACTGTTTCCACAATTCTTGAAAGTAAACCCCTCCGGCTTAATCTACTGTGTCCAAATGTGTAGCTTAACATTTTTTAAACATGTTATTGCTTTAAAAGAGTGAGAGAGAGCAAAAGAAAGAAGGAAGGAACAGAGTGTGTGGGGGAGAAATGTGATTGCAAACAGAAAATGAACATTATGACAACAATGATCAGGGTGGCAAACCACCTTCAGCTCCAAGGCCAGAATAAATATCAGAGAGGGGGTTACATTCCAGTGCAGCATAGAGGCAAAGGCAAATGGGTGAGCCCAAGGCAAAAGAAGTGGGTTAAAACCAAATATACCAGCACATTGTAGCTTAAAACTCTTGCTGCCAGTAACTAAAGCTTTAGAACAGGCATTTTCACTTTTCAGAATGGGGAATAATTTAACAAAATGATGGGGAACCACCAAATGATCAATGGTTGGAGAACAGTGGGTGGCTATCTGGGGACCCCCAGAGAGGTAGATTAAGACCTCAGAAGGGATGTAATGTGCCCCCCTAGACTGAGGTTGCCCAAGCTTGCCCTCGCTCTGCTCTAGTTCTGCAAGGTGACATGATATGGCTCGTTCAAAGTAAACATCTTCACTTCTCGCAACGTTTCAATGACTGTTCTTCTCTGGACAGACTATTTTTATTTATCAACAACTAAATGGATTAGAAAGTAAGCCTAATTGCCAAGAAATGTACTTTTCTTCTAAATAACTTGAACTACTCACATGAGACCTGATATTTTTGTGTAACTGCAAGCACCCAACAAGTCCATGTAACTGTAGGAACATACCCATGTTTCTTTTGCTGCTATTCACAGCTGAAAATTATATTAAATATTTTCACATCTTTCCACCTATCATTTAACATCTAATGCCAGGCATAAAGAAACAGCATGGCTTGTGCCGTGCTCTTTTTCTTTTTCCCTGCTCAACTCCTTTTTGCCCAGAACCTGGAACATGCTATGCTGCAGGATGACATGTCCTTAAAAGACTCTCCCCACCGCTATACCAACAAAACCTAAATATATGTTTACATTCTTTATATCCGTGTTTTAAGGGAAACAACAATGTTTCAGCACACAAACCTGAGAAAGAAAACTGAGATGTCTGTATAGCCATTTACAGGGAGGATGTGCTATTAACAGTGTTTTGCTACAGCTTCACATATTCAAACAAAAGTGACAACCTGACACACTGTGACACTGTTTTGACAGTAATAAGTTAGATAAGGGTCTGTAATGCAGTCTCTGGAGCAGTGATTATTCCATCTTCTACAACTCCCTTTGCACAGTCCCCCCCCCCCCGCATGTCTAAATGATGTAAAATAACATTGTTTCTATTAGTTGTCATCTGCATTGTCTGGCTTTTCTCTCATTGACTGAGCATCTCTGTAGCACCAGCTTATTTTATTCATTTTTCCCCTTCTTGTTAGCAATGTATGCCAAGAAAAACATATGGTACAGGATGAATTATCTGCTCAGTCAACTTATATAAAATTTAAAGGAAAGGTTTGATGTATTTTCAGAGCCCATGCATGAATCTGAAGCAGCAGTTTTGTCTAAGAAAAACAAAAAGCTAGCAGTCAGGCCACTGACTAAAATAATGTGATTGATTTCAGGGGTAGGACTGAATTCTGGGACTGGGATTACCTTATCCCTTATCATGTTTATTCAGAAGTTTCTCTGAGTTCAAAAGTTCATAGCTGCATTCAGGGATCTGGTAGTTCTGAAGCAAGCCAGAATAAAATTCATGTTTTTAGCCAGCACACTACAGCTGCCATAAAATGCATTTCAAAAGTGGTAATAGATCACCCTTCAGATCAGTTTTTTTTAAACCTACACAGTGCAGACAGGGTGGGGATGACAGAAAAGAATCCAGATCATCTGTCCTCCTGGACTTCCTGGTTTTAGACTGCTCTAATACCTCTTCCAGCAAAGCTACGTTGTAGACTGGACCAGTTTGTCGCCTCCTCAGGATACGGAGGAATCTTTTCAGGAGTGGTCTCACCATTATTTCCTTCTACGTGGCAATTACTTTTTGCTTTAGAGAGGCATTTGCAATTCCCTTGACCCAGCATTCCCTTCCATATTTAGGTATGATCATTAAGGGTCAAAAGACGCCCTCTGCAACTACTCTCCACATCTTCAGGTGGCAAAGAATTATTTATTTATTTAAAATTTTTATATACCACCCAACTACTAGGGTCTTGGGATAGTTTTACAATAAAAGCAATACAAAATGAAATGGAGCACATCTTCCAATACTTCCAGTATAATAAACCCCACATTCAAACCTATTAAACATTAGAATAATGGGAAAATAAAAAGATCCAATGAATTGTATCAAAACTCAGAATATGGACTGCATATTAACATGGAATCCAAGTCAGCAATCAATTTTATCTGCAAAGGATC